CAGTGGTATTGACAGACTTCATTACCCACCGAGTGCCGTTTGGTCTGTAAAAATATGGGTGCTCTTCCCATATGCCCGATGCGCCTAAAAGCGTTAAAAGAGACCTTTTTTTTTTTTACTTACTTATTGACAGACTTAGGGATCTTACCGTTTTACAGGGAGAAACCAATTTGGTAATCCGTATTCGTGCCAAGAAACTAGCAACGGCTTCGTTTACCCAGTCGTCGGTCCACCATGTTGGGGCCACACGAGCAGCAAACCACTAGAAAACAATGCACAAACAAAGAAAACAAGGACTATTGAAACAGAATGAGTATTGCAAGAAATGGAATGGCTGTTGTCAGGAATGGAATGACTAAAGTGAGAAATAGAATGAGTATTGTGAGAAATGGAATAACTAAAGTGAGAGATGGAATGGCTGTTGCGAGAAATGGAATGGATATTGTCAGGAATAAAATGACTAAAGTAAGAAATGGTATAAGTATTGTGAGAAATAGAATTGCTGTTGTGAGAAATGGAATGGATTTTGTTGTAACATTATGTGTGTAATGACACAGATACAGCCTACATTCCCACACAGATACAGTCTACGTTCTCACACAGATACAGTCTAAGTTCCCACACAGATACAACCTACGTTCTCACACAGATACAGCCTACGTTCTCACACAGATACAGTTCTAAGTTCCCACACAGATACAACCTACGTTCCCACACAGAATCAGCCTACGTTCCCACACAGATACAACCTACGTTCTCACACAGATACAGCCTACGTTCTCACAAAGATACAGTCTATGTTCCCACACAGATACAACCTACGTTCCCACACAGAATCAGCCTACGTTAACACACAGATAAAGCCTACGTTCTCACACAGATACAGCCTAAATTCCCACACAGATACAGCCTACGTTCCCACACAGATACAGTCTACGTTCTCACACAGATACAGCCTAAGTTCCCACACAGATACAACCTACGTTCTCACACAGATACAACCTACGTTCCCACACAGATACAGCCTACGTTCCCACACAGATAAAGCCTACGTTCTCACACAGTTACAGCCCAAGTTCTCACACAGAGACTGCCTACGTTCTCACATAGATACAGTCTAAGTTCCCACACAGATACAACCTACGTTCTCACACAGATACAACCTACGTTCTCATACAGATACAGCCTACGTTCCCACACAGATAAAGCCTATGTTCTCACACAGATACAGCCCACCTTCTTACACAGATACAGCATACGTTCCCACACAGATAAAGACTACGTTCTCACACAGATACAGCCTAAGTTCTCCTACAGATACAGCCTACGTTCTCACATAGATACAGTCTAAGTTCACACACAGATACAACCTACGTTCTTACACAGATACAGCCTACGTTCCTACATAGATACAGCCTACGTTCTCACACAGAGACAGAATACGTTCCCACACAGATACAGCTTACATTCCCACATGGATACAGCCTACGTTCCCACATAGATACAGCTTACATTCCCACATAGATACAGCCTACGTTCTCACACAGGTACAGCCTAAGTTCCCACACAGATACAGCTTACATTCCCACATAGATACAGCCTACGTTCTCACACATATATAGCCTGTATTCCCACACAGATACAGCTTACATTCCCACATAGATATAGCCTACGGTCCCAAACAGATAAGTCTAAGTTCCCACACAGATACAACCTACGTTCTCACACAGATACAGCCTGTGTTCCCACACAGATACAGCTTATATTCCCACATAGATATAGCCTACGTTCTCACACAGATAAGTTTAAGTTCCCACACAGATGCAACCTACGTTCCCACACAGATACAGCCTAAGTTCCAACACAGATACAGCCTACGTTCCCACACAGATACAGCTTGAGTTCACACACATATACAGCCTACGTTCACACACAGATACAGACTACTTTCCCACACAGATATACCCTACGTTCCCACACAGAAACAGCCTGGATCGAGACACAGATACAGCCTACGTTCACACACAGATACAGACTACGTTCCAACACAGAGACAGCCTACGTTCCCACAAAGATACAGCCCACGTTCTCACACAGATACAGCCTAAGTTCCCACACAGATACAGCCTAAGTTCCCACACAGATACAGCCTACGTTCCCACACAGATACAGCCTACGTTCTCACACAGATACAGCCTACGTTTTCACACAGATACAGCCTAGGTTCCCACACAGATACAGCCTAAGTTCCCACACAGATACAGCCTACGTTCCCACACAGATACAGCTTACATTCCCAAATAGATACAGCCTACGTTCCCACACAGATACAGCTTACATTCCCACATAGATACAGCCTACGTTCTCACACAGATACAGCCTACGTTCTCACACACATACAGCCTAAGTTCCCACACAGATACAGCCTAAGTTCCCACACAGATACAGCCTACGTTCCCACACAGATACAGCTTACATTCCCAAATAGATACAGCCTACGTTCCCACACAGATACAGCTTACATTCCCACATAGATACAGCCTACGTTCTCACACAGATACAGCTTACATTCCCAAACAGATACAGCCTACGTTCCCACACAGATACAGCTTACATTCCCACATAGATACAGCCTACGTTCTTACACAGATACAGCCTAAGTTCCCACACAGATACAGTCTAAGTTCCCACACAGATACAACCTACGTTCCGACACAGATAAAGCTTACATTCCCACATATATTCAGCCTACGTTCTCACACAGATACAGCTTACAGTCCCACATAGATACAGCCTACTTTCTCACATAGATACAGCCTAAGTTCCCAAACAAATACAACCAAATGTTTTATTGAAAGTGTTTATCAACGAATAACAAAAACGATTCCTATGCAACAGGAAGCAGGAAAAACTATTTACTTGGACTATTTATTCTTCGTCTTCCCCGTATGGGTTCCGGGGCCCTACTATGGGAAAAACAAGAATAGACCCACTGTCTACCTAAAATCATGTCGTAAGAGTCGATAATTGGGAGCTTCCTTCGAAGTCGGAGTGCATCTGCCTGAGAGGCAAGGAACCATCAGTCTGCATACAGAGCTGTCAAACGGATGCACACGCAACACTCAGGTTCTGGAACAGGACTGCAGTGCAGAAGTGGACGAACAACCAGAACTTTCCGCCGGAGTTTACAGCCGGTGAACGAGAAGAAGAAGAAGAAGTTTCTCTGTCTTCTTAGCTTACGCTGTCTGTAAACTCCGGCGGAAATTCTTAGTATCAAAAATGACTATGGCAAACTTTTTTTTACAAGGACGGAATAGCGTGTAGGAAACAATCAAACTGAGGTATTTGCACAGGAATAAGGAAGCTGGCAGGCAGACATGTAGAAATATGAACAGCCAAGGAATGGATACAGGTTTAAACAGAGATTACCTGATGTGCAAACTGTCGGGAAATTGTCGAAGCCATTCTATCATAGGTCGATTTAGTATTTACAGCCGAATTATACAACAAGTGATGTTTTCTATAAGAAAAGAACAAATGTTCCTTTTGACAATGAAGATTCGCATGTTTAATTAGGAATGTACATCACTCGGGACAATACCATAAGCGCCCGTCTTATCTACAATAGCGAGCACAGAGTTCCAATTCTGATAACACCAGTAACAACGTGATGATGTATTCGTTTAGCTTTGCTCTAAAGTGTGGATCGCCGGCAAGATCGCCTGGTTACACCACGTAGGACCATTCTTCTCAGACGGCGAAGACCGCCGAAATGTTTACTCTCCCCCTAAACAGACCTTACAACATCTAGCTCGGCATGCATCAATTCACCGCCAAATTTGGCAGAACTAGCAATTTTATCTGCATGTTAATGGCCCAATACACCGGTATACCTGGAGAAGATATCCAAAAGGGCACTAACTACCCGGGATCTTTGAAGCGATGTTTGCCACTCTTCACCCGGCATACTGGTTTCCATCTTTCTCAACATGCTCCGTGAATCCGTTACAATAACAACATCTGCATGCAGCTGATTCTCACGCTACCGAAAGGCAGCAGTGACTGCCTCCACCTCCATTCTCAAACTAAAGTTGTGGTGGTATATGTCAGGCTTTGTTGCAATGGAAATGTATATGTTGCCTTTTTAAAACATGAGAGGCCCCCTCCACCCCCACCCCCTCACCGCTCACTATAACACTGTCGTGGAAAAAAAATTGCCAATGTAAAAAAAAAAAAAAATCGAAGCAGACTTACAGACATGGATAGTATCAATACACTTTCTAAACAAGGGGACTACAAATACAAATGACAAATCACCTGGAAATGATGAGACCCCAGTTGGGCACTGACGGAAACTGCTGACGAGGAACAGCCATCAAGTCTGAGGAGAGAGGCCAGATAAAACAAGACATCGGTAGTGATAACTGTCACATGATGGTGAAACCAGTAAACTTAAAGCCGCCCTTGTCTGCGACACATTTCCAGACATTTATCTGTAATGTCTAGTTTACTAAATTCTCTATTTTGGGAAACTGTCTAGTTTACTAAATTCTCTATTTTGCTAAATTGTCCAGTTTACTAAATTCTCCATTTGGGTAAATTGTCTAGTTTATGAAATTCTATATTGTGGTTAATTCCCCACTTTAGTAAATTCTCCAAGCTCTTGAATTCTCTGACTCGCTAAATTCTCCATTTTGATTAATACTCCCAATTTGACTACTAAACAAGTTTGAATTCTCGCTAATTGTCCATTTTGGTTAATACTCCTAGTTTGACTAATTCTCCAGTTTGCAAATTCTCTAATGTGGTGAAATTCTCCAGTTTGGTAAATTCTCCAGTTTGGTAAATTTTCCATTTATATAAATTCTCCCTACTTGATGAATTCTTTGGTTTGGTCGATGTCAGACAAACATATCAAACTGAGGGTCTCTCAGGGGCCATATGGGTGACATTTGTTTTGTATAGAGACTTTGGGGTGCAGTGAATCCACATCACTAGCCAGAATGGCAGACTTGAGAATTAAGATCGACAGAGCACAAAACGAGACGCACACCAGACACGCCAGAAGACTTGTTAATCAACATAGAACTGGTACGATTAGCCTTCGGACGTTGGGGTTCATACTGAGGGGAGGTTCTGAGCACCTATGGACATGTCCGGAGTGCAATGATGATAACCCAACTACTAACTATAACTAACTAGTGTTTTTTCAAGAGGGCCACAGATAACAACTAATTGAAGTCAGGAAATAGAAATTACAGACTACAAATGGGCCGCATGTTTGACCTTCATGATGTAGATAATGTGCTGGTACAACAAGCTAGGGAGTTTCTCATGCTTAACTGTATACTTTCTCTGTTCAAGTTAGTTCTGCTTGTTGCAGTCAATCTCACGTGAGGTCATGACTGTTCATAGCTTTCTGTTTCGTCTACTGCTATTTACCTATTTGCGTTCCAACTGGAGGCGGGCGGAAGTAGGGATTGGGGGGGGGGGGGTGTAACAGAACAGAGCCACATTTTCTGATACAAGCATGTCTTACTAGACGACTAATTAGGGCTTTCGAGAAACTGGATGTGTGGGGCCCAAAGTTTCAGATATTACAGCTTGCCTGTAAACTCAAATACAAAGGGTGCAGACGGCTTTTCCCATCGCTAACAAGGAAGAAGAAGAAACAAATCTACTGTTAATCATTTCGCATACAGAGGTTCTTAAATGCCATGATGTCAAACAACCTTCCGTGTTCCTTCTCGCTCTTTGCTTCCTCTCTTCTTCTGATATTGCATGTTGTCACAACGTTTTCGTTTCCTCATTGTCACTTTGGCTTTGGATTTAGCGTTTGCACCTGTCCGTCTTTGGATTTAGCGTTTGCACCTACCCGTCTTTGGATTTAGCGTTTGCACGTGCCCGTCTTTGGATTTAGCGTTTGCACGTGCCCATCTTTGGATTTAGCGTTTGCACCTGTCCGTCTTTGGATTTAGCGTTTGCACGTGCCCATCTTTGGATTTAGCGTTTGCACCTGTAGGTCTTTAGAGTTAGCTTTTTGCACCTGTCCATCTTTAGGGTTAGCTTTTTGCACCTGTCCATCTTTAGAGTTAGCTTTTTGCACCTGTCCATCTTTCCATACAAAAGTATCACATTGTACCACAGGGAGTCACAGCCAAGGATGATGGCGGGTGTAAATGGCAGTTCTAAGAAGCATCAAGACAAGTAGTTCACGCTTAAACATTGGATTACGTGACCGGTGTATTCTGTGAGTCTTTTCTTAGGCGTTCAGCCCCCAACCTAGGTATGTGCATTTTTTTTCTGTTTAATTTGTGTATTTCCCTTCCAACCCCCACCCCCTTCACCTTCCATTTTTATACCCCAAACAACAAGGTACACTGCGTTTTGTTTCTATGAACCTAGCCCAATACCTGTATAATGCCTGTCCCAGTTGCATCTTTGCATCGTTGCAGAGACTGACCTCACTGCCACAAATAAAAAAAAAAAAAAAAAAAAAGACAACGGAGGACTTTCCCTTATGTGGATAATCAGTTCTCCTTGGTGTTAAATGCACCTTCATTATTGCCTGACCATTGTGTAATGATCATTCATTATCATCTCAAATGACATTCCTATGGCTTAAACATAATATTTCACAGATCTAAATTTCAAACGGCAAATATAGATTACGTTTTAAATGGGATTTGTTCTCCCAGGAGGCTAACTATAAGGAGAACGCCAGATATGGTGAAAATTAGCAGAAAACAGACACAGTGAAATGGTATGACCACATAGTATGCTTAACATACTTAGTACCTTGCTTTGATAAAGGATATTTTAACTGCAAAGAAATCTTTAAAGTCGCCCAGTAGATCTTCTGCAAAATGTAGCGCCGTTAGGGTGTCATTAGCAAACCTTGGTTGAGCCCAAGTTTTGAGCTGTTCAGAAAATAAACAGTATCAATGTCATCTTGTGTAGAAGGAAGTGCACATTAAGATGATTATTGTTCGCTGTTGTCGATTCAGTGACGCCATTGCTTGCATCCAACATACAAAGCATCTATCTACTATTCTCAAGGGACCCTAGATACCCAACGACTTTGACTTGGTTTAGACTAACTCTATGTACTTTTGTGTTACATTCCGAAAACATTATCTTTTTAGTTGTCGTGAATTATATTGTCTGCTCTTCAGAATCCCCCCCCCCCCCCCCCAAGCCACCTTCAGTTTGATTGAGCAATTCGAATATTTAGGCTGTGTAGGAAAAAGCAGTAACACCAAATATACGCTGAAAACATTCAGAGGATAACTTGAAGTACTCAGAACGTTGAAGAAGAAAAATGATTATAAACAAAGAAGAAGTGGGAAATATTGTCACAGTTGAAAAGATTTATGGAGAGCTAGAGAAAGTCAACGAGAGAGGTTTTACTACATGTAAGGATATCAGCACACCAACTGATGCATGTTGTTGGAGACCCCAGGATTTAGAGAAGCATGGTTCCCACGCCAATCGACAAGACTCTTGATGGTAATGATGATGAAGATGAGGGTGAAACATATATATGTCACTGACAAGTAAAGATTTTTGGAGAAAAAAAAATAACGCAAATAAAAATAGAAAATAAAACAAACAACAATTACATACACATATAATGACCCACAAATTCGTGTGAACACAGTGAACAGGAATACGGTAAAACGTCATTAACTCGAATTCGCTTAAGACAAACACATGGCTATTATAAACACAAATTTAGTCTCCGCATGGATGTAACAACAATTGTCCCCGTCATCACGTAATATTTTTTAACACGAACTCCTAATTTTTCAGTCCCTTACATTCAAGTTAACAAGGTTCCACTGAAACTACTTACAGTTATGCTGTCATTGAAAATACGGGTTTGCGAATGAAAGTCGCAGACAGCAAAAGCCAATAGGTAGGTGGACATAGTCGGTGTCCGAGCATAGACGTCCTTCTGAAACACGATGCCGTTGTTTTCACTGAAAGCAGCCAGAAAGGTAAACAGGTCTTTTAACGCAAAGACCATATCCGGTATATGATCTCAGAATACATTTTTTTATAGACTAACCGGAACTGGATAGATTATGTAGCCGCACCTACTTCCCAGTACATTTCCTGGTGCTCATTGTAAACTAGGTGGGTTTACTTGGGTAGCAAGGTCAGTGTTAAAGAATCTGTTCTTTGCCGATTCAACCCGCATCACTCTAGAGAGGAAGAAGATGAGTTAATGAGTAAAGAGTTGATTCAAAAACCGACATCACAGCACACGCGGCAGTCTGATTACACATCTGTCTTTCAGCAAGAAGATGTAATGTACGTAGGTAGCCGACAGTCCCTAGGTACCATAGAGGTGTGGTAGTGGTCTTTACTTTATAGTCTACATTAAAACGTTGATACTCTTTTAACTAAGACTGGTCTCCCCTCTAGAGCTTGCTACGTTTGGCATCTTGCAAACTGCGAAAGTCGATCTTTCACTGTCTGCCTCCGCAGGAGTCAATCTGCAGTAGATCTTTCACTGTCTGCCTCCGCAGGAGTCAATCTGCAGTAGATCTTTCTCTGTCTGCCTCCGCAGGAGTCAATCTGCAGTAAATCTGTCACTGTCTGCCTCCGCAGGAGTCAATCTGCAGTAGATCTTTCACTGTCTGCCTCTGCGGGAGTCAATTTGCAGTAGATCTTTCACTGTCTGCCTCCGCAGGAGTCGGTCAGCAGCGGATCTCTGCTAAGTGTCTGTGTAAGTGCCGAGAAACAGCGAGAAAAACTATCACAGTTCATCTTTTTCTTGCGTTTAATTGTCTTGTCGGAAGATGGTCTGTTTTTCCAGTCGGACTGTTACAGGAAAATCTGACCTCTCCTGCGACTCAGAGTCTCGCATCCTGGATGGATAAAAAGGACGACTCATCCTGTCTACACTGGATCATTAGTGATTAGTAGGGACTTTCATCACAGCACACCACTGAAAGAAAATGTACGCCGTGCCCACAATGGATCTTGGATGTAGTGTATCTAATGGGACAATAATATCCCGTGATGAGGCCACAGTCTCTTCCAAGTTGCGATTTTCGTATCACTGTCAGAAAGGACGAGAACTATCATTTGCTAAAGAGCCAATTATTGGACTCGAACCCTGGTAACCGGCGAGGATTACATTGTGAAACGATTTCACTAACCTAAAATCTACAGAGCCGCACACTTTTCTCAATACTGGAGATTGAACTGGGACCAAAGCCCTTGCAGATAACTATTCTAAACACAATTGGTATTTCAGTGACAAAGCACACTGACATTATTCTGACATATGTTTATCAGAGTTATCAAAATGTAATCACACTGATATTATTCTTAGATATGTTTATCAGAGTTATCAATAGGCAATCACACTGATAATATTCTTAGATTTGTTTATCAGAGTTATCAAAAGGTAATCACACTGATATTATTCTTAGATATGTTTATCAGGTATATCAAAAGGCATTCACACTAATATTATACTTACATATGTTCATCTGAGTTATCAATCGGCATGTTGGACAAAGAAATGCGGTTGGCTGGTCTGAGGATGTTAATTTGAAACTGGGCTTTCGTTGCTGGCTCATCAAAACATGGAAAGACTTTCCTGGCATAGATTGGCTGGAGCTGCGTGTTAACCATATATCTGGGGAAAAAAATCCAGGGATAAAACAAAACACAGTCAAGCTATGTGTATGGAACTGTCAGCTGGCATCTTGTCTGGACAATGAAGACAATCAAAACGAAACATGGGTATCCGTTCATCACCTATTTATGTAGGTCAGTGTGGGCCAGATTTCTGTAAAATTTTATCACAGTAGACGTCATTGCACATTAGGCATTCCTGTGCTTGCCTAGTCCTGCTATCCAACAGTCACTCTGAGCTTCCTCTACTGATTATTCCATGACCTGTTGGAAAATGAATATCACCACCCGCATCATTAGAATCGTGTTATGTCATTAGGTGTTACAAAGTAGTTGCAGTCTATTCCTCAATCCTGCCTGGTGCAACATTTTTGATATCTTGCATGGAATCCAATCCAACATTTTTGATATCATGCATGGAATCCAATCCAACATTTTTGATATCATGCATGGAATCCAATCCAACACTTTTGATATCTTGCATGGAATCTAATCCAACACTTTTGATATCTTGCATGGAATCTAATTCAACATTTTTTATATCTTGCATGGAATCTAATCCAACACTTTTGATATCTTGCATGGAATTCAATCCAACATTTTTGATATCTTGCATGGAATCTAATCCAACACTTTTGATATCTTGCATGGAATCTAATTCAACATTTTTGATATCATGCACGGAATCTAATCGAACACTTTTCATATCTTGCATGGAATCTAATCCAAAACTTTTGATATCTTGCATGGAATCTAATCCAACATTTTTGATATATTGCATGGAATCTAATCCAACACTTTTGGCGTCTCTCATTCATCTTAAATTTTAAATATCATCATCTAGTTCAGAGCGTCGACCCAAAGAAAACACTGGGGAAGTTTAGTTGCAAATGTATATTTAAGGGTTTGCAGAGGGAACTCCACGCTTCAAATTTTGTTGGTTGGAAAAGGAGCAGGGGTGGGGGTGGGGGGGGGGGTGGGGGCTCAAAGTGTATAAGACTAAAGGTTGCAGAGGCCCTGATCCAATGTAATGTCCCAACTCATGGTCCAATGTAATATCACAACTCATTGTCCAATGTAATGTCACAACGCATGGTCCAATGTAATATCACAACTCATTGTCCAATGTAATGTCACAACGCATGGTCCAATGTAATGTCACAGCTCATGGTCCAATGTAATGTCACAACTCATGGTCCAATGTAATGTCACAACGCATGGTCCAATGTAATGTCACAACGCATGGTCCAATGTAATGTCACAACGCATGGTCCAATGTAATGTCACAGCTCATGGTCCAATGTATTGTCCCAACTCATGGTACAATGTAATGTCACAACGCATGGTCCAATGTAATGTCACAACGCATGGTCCAATGTAATGTCACAACTCATGGTCCAATGTAATGTCACAACGCATGGTCCAATGTAATGTCACAACTCATGGTCCAATGTAATGTCACAACTCATGTAATGTCACAACTCATGGTCCAATGTAATGTCACAATGCATGGTCCAATGTAATGTCACAACTCATGGTCCAATGTAATGTCACAACTCATGGTCCAGTGTCATGTCACAACTCATGGTCCAATGTAATGTCACAACTCATGGTCCAATGTAATGTCACAACTCATGGTCCAATGTAATGTCACAACTCATGGTCCAATGTAATGTCACAACTCATGGTCCAATGTCATGTCACAACTCATGGTCCAATGTAATGTCACAACTCATGGTCCAATGTAATGTCACAACTCATGGTCCAATGTAATGTCCCAACTCATGGTCCAATGTAATGTCACAACTCATGGTCCAGTGTCATGTCACAACTCATGGTCCAATGTAATGTCACAACTCATGGTCCAATGTAATGTCACAACTCATGGTCCAATGTAATGTCACAACTCATGGTCCAATGTAATGTCACAACGCATGGTCCAATGTAATGTCACAACTCATGGTCCAATGTAATGTCCCAACTCATGGTCCAATGTCATGTCACAACGCATGGTCCAATGTAATGTCACAACGCATGGTCCAATTTAATGTCACAACTCATGGTCCAATGTAATGTCACAGCTCATGGTCCAATGTAATGTCACAGCTCATGGTCCAATGTAATGTCCCAACTCATGGTCCAATGTAATGTCACAACTCATGATCCAATGTAATGTCACAACTCATGGTCCAATGTAATGTCACAACTCATGGTCCAATGTAATGTCACAACTCATGGTCCAATGTAATGTCACAACTCATGGTCCAATGTAATGTCACAACTCATGGTCCAATGTAATGTCCCAACTCATGGTCCAATGTAATGTCACAGCTCATGGTCCAATGTAATGTCCCAACTCATGGTCCAATGTAATGTCACAACTCATGGTCCAATGTAATGTCACAACGCATGGTCCAATGTAATGTCACAACTCATGGTCCAATGTAATGTCACAACGCATGGTCCAATGTAATGTCACAACTCATGGTCTAATGTAATGTCACAACGCATGGTCCAATGTAATGTCACAACTCATGGTCCAATGTAATGTGACAACGCATGGTCCAATGTAATGTCCCAACTCATGGTCCAATGTAATGTCACAACGCATGGTCCAATGTAATGTCACAACGCATGGTCCAGTGTAATGTCACAACTCATAGTCCAATGTAATGTATCTATGGTAGTTTAGTTTCTCAAGCGTGCGTTCATGTGAACATTCAGTGTTAACATTTCGCCTATCACCTGTAACTGACTCCTTTAGCACATATAGCTTAGTGGTTACAAGCATGGTTTATAATTCCGAGACACTAGTTACATAGCTGATTTAGTGTCATAGCGATTTGCGTTGATTTAGACAGTGTTATACGACGTCGACCGTTTAGTGAAATATCAAATCACAGAGTTTAACAGGACCTCTCATTAAGAACACAAACAACCTGTTGTGAGATGATTCATGTGGATTTGGAAAGGTTAAAACATAGTTGGGGACAATGTTGTGTGAATTGTGCTTTCAGGAGTCCGTGGGAGTGTCCGGTGACCCGAGTCAATATTTGGTATGTTGTTGAACTGAGCCAGGAGCCAGTCGGCTGAGTCAATATTGTGGCAAGTGGGAGCTGACTAGGGCGGGAAATGTCAGTCGGCTGAGTCAATATTGTAGCAAGTGGGAGTTGACTAGGGCGGGAAATGTCAGTAGGCTGAGTCAATATTGTAGCAAGTGGGAGTTGACTAGGGCGGGAAATGTCAGTAGGCTGAGTCAATATTGTAGCAAGTGGGAGTCGACTAGGGCCGGAGATGTCCGTCGGCTGGAGTCAATATTGTAGCAAGTGGGAGTTGAATAGGGCGGGAGATGTCAGTCGGCTGGAGTCAATATTGTGGCAAGTGGGTGTTGACTTGAGCCAGGAGATATCCGTCGGCTTGAGTCAGTATTGTGGCAAGTAGGAGTTGACTAGGGCGGGATTGACCAGTAGAATGACAAAGTTATTAGTCTAGTGTGGGCTAATTATTATAAGTAGTGCGTTGATAGCAGCTGTTGCACGTAAAAATTATGAGTTGCATGGAAGCGTGCGTCTCGGGTGCACGTGTTAGCTCACAAGTGGCAGGCAAGTGTTTTTACTGGGGTTCAGTTGAAAGAGCAGTGGACAGTTGAGAACTCGAATAGTTGAACCGAGAACGTTCGAGGAAAAGCACTTGCGAGAGACTGGTCTGGAGGGCAGTCGAGAGTGCACTCGAAGGAAGAGAAGCCCAGTTGGCAGTTAGGTTAAGAGAGCTGGACTACTTCAAGAAAAGGCTGTCTTGGGTGATGAGGCATGTTAAGCGGTAGGATTACTAGTGAAATAAGACAACAGAGATGTCGGCGATAGCTGTGTGCTGAAGGGGACTCAAAGCTAGGAGTCCTGCCGGTCATCGGGGTCCCTTCGATAAGGCTGATGTGCTATGTGCAAATGCTGGAGATCGAGTATTGTGACGTTTCCAGCCAGCCGATGAGACGGCGTCTGCACCGCTAGAGAAGCAGAGGTCAGGTTGATTAGGAAATATATTCTGTTCATCTGTACAGCGAGCCCTGAGGGACGCTGTAGACCTAGAAACTTTTGCGGTCAGCTCAGGTGTAGTCGCAGCTAGTTTAAGCTGTACCAGGTGGAGTGAGCGAAGGATGGAACATAAATCTTATGTTAGAAAAGAATAGATGTATGAATTACTTCGCTTGCATTATTATGTGTGAGTGTTCGTGAATGCTCTATGTGTTCATGACAATAAAATGTGCACATATGGCGGCCATACGTCGTTAAGTTTTCCTGACAATTGTTTGTGCACGCGTGAACTGTATCCTAACCACTACTAGGTCGCGTGCTGTTAGAAGACATCAAAGCCTAAACATGCTAGCACTGGTTGCAAACGTCCCCTAAAGTATAGGCAATGAACACATGATAAAAATTATTCTAAAGTCATGATAGAAATTAAAGTCATAATTGAAATTATACTTAAGTCATAAAAGAAATTAAACTGAAGTAATCAGCTCTGTACACATCAGTGGCACATAGGGCGCACGTTGTTGGATCCTTGTTGTACAGACCACTCCGCACACAATAGGTAATGTGTCCGCCTCTGCTTTTCAGTACTTAACATTGTAGGAGCGCCCTGGTGTCGCGGCTGCAGGCTGGCTTGTGGATCCGAGGGTGGTAAGTTCAAATCTAAACGGAGCCGGATTGTTAAAAAGTGACCTTAACTGCCCATTTTTTTTTAAACGTATCCAGAAACCATGAGTTGTAAACCCTTTGGCTCGGTACTATGGATATCGCAACCCTTCGGCATTGATTCCATTATAGGTACCGTTAATCTGGGAGAAATGTGGCTTTTCTGCCCACCCCCGGGAGTGAACCCGGACCACAAGGAGTTCGTGACCCGGCCGCCGCGAAAGTCAGATTTAACCAACTTCGCTAGAGAGCCGTTCGACCCAGCCTTAAATGGGTACCAGGTAAAGTCCTGGAAAGTAAAGGCAGCCAGTGTGATGCTGACGAAAGTGCTGATTGATTTAGACAATTTAGATTTAGCACTATATGCCTAATACACCCACAAGGCGTGGAAGATGGTCTTTTACTTGCCTCTGTACGCATTTCAGCTGATTTTGAACAAATCGACTCAATGCGAATTGGAACCCACGAAATTCAAGCCAGCTAGTGAGTATCTCTCCTTTACAGCTCGCAGCACATCACGAAGTACATCTAAATTACTGGTAAAGATAGGATAGTCAGGAGAAGGTCGTTGTGGGGCTCAGTTAAAAGACATTGATAACTATAGACTAACACAGTGTTCTTCAACATGGGACAGGGGGGCACCAAAAGGGCGTGAGGAAGTTTCAGGAGGAAGAAGATTGAAAATTAGTGTATTTGTAGTGCTAATAATTTGGGTTTTCAGCTTGAACAAAAATGAAAACAAATCATCGTTGTCAGCCTCATGTGGTATTTAATCTCCGTTGCCCAACATCCGACCGCAAATAGTAGATATTAAGACAAAATAGAGTCATGGATACTTAGACACTAAATTACCAGTTGTTGGTAATAGTTTCTTTTGTTATTTGACACCCTGAATTGTATGTTTGTGGTGTTCAATTTCTTGACAACAGTAATTGTTTTTTTTTTCTTGCTTCCTTTCTCTTTCAAATCATATTTCCGCATGTTTGGTGTGGACAGCATAAAGGAAAAAAGGGAGTGGGGTTGTAGTATTTAAAAAAAAAGGGGGTTTGGGGGGGGGGGGGGGGGGGGGTGGGAGGAGTCTTTCCTTATAATCAAACGAGATAGAAGGCTCATGAGAAAGTGTGGAGACAACAGGTCTAACAGGTGAATTAAAAAGATTTCACAGGTGACGGTCAGAACTGCTTTATCATGCCTAGCAGTTCAAAGCAATTCTAATGCTGAATTTTTAGACGAATACAATTTCAGTTAAAAGGACAAAATTGATACAAGCGGGTATTGAATGTAGAAACTGCCCTCATACAAGGATAATGTCTAGGTTGTGCTAAAATATGAACTCTAGTGATACTGTTGGTCTTGTCCAATGTCCGGAGTACTCACAATGCATGTGTGCCTCTATGTGTGTGTGTGTGTAAATGGGTAATTAAGTGTGCTTGCCGGTCTGTTCGGACGCATATGTGAATAAAGTAAAGTAAAGGACAATTGTCCACGCCTTAAGGCGTATTGGGCATATAGGGCTAGACCTATATTTTGTAGACCAGTCGGCATTCGGTGGGTTGTGTGGTCAAGATGAGAATGGCCGCTTCTACTTCCCTGTACTTTACCTGATACCCATTTAAGTCTGGGTCCTCCTGAGAGGCAAGGTCATTTCTGAAAATATCCGGCTCCGCCACGATCTGAACCCATAACCCTATGATCCTCACGCAAGGGTCTAGCGGCTTCACTTCATTGTATGAATAAGCGCACATATGTGTATACTGTATGACAGCAAAGACTAACTTGGTAACGTTGTTATCCATGTATTCACTGTAGTAGAGACCGACTGGTTCAGTCCTTAGTGGCCCTTTGAAATCCATCTGCAGCCAATAATGCTTGCCAGCCTGTAAGAACACAGTACATCTGGAAAAGTAGAAAAAGCTAAGAAAGTAGAGAGGGTGGAGCTATAGTCTGTCCAAGAAGTTGTGTCCAACTTTAAAAATCTGTAACTCAGTCAGTAACCGTTCAATGTCAGTTGTTGGCATTCGGCATACAACCTGTTAATAATAGTTTCATCGTTAGAATAATAATAAAAAAGAGAATGTAAACAGAGACCCTGGCAAATGGGTGGAATGGCGGACTGCTTCAAACAGCAGGAGACTGTCCACACCAACCTTGAGAGAAACTGTAGAGTATAGTTGACACTTTAGTCAAAACGCAGACTGACGAGAGCACAAATGTCAATGGTGTTGTGTCTACACGGATGAATCGGGCATTTGGGGCAAGTGAAGTGCATGGGCGTTCACTGTGAACTCAAAGAACAAAGTATGAATGAGACGAGTGATGTCTTTGCCGTTACAACCAGCAGCCTCACACCGGAGACCATGACTGCAACAAGGACGTTGCCATGGCAGGGTACTGAAGAATTCCCACACGCGTACATACTGATCGATTCAATAAATATGGTCAAGAAAATCCAGGCCAGCTTTACAGACATAAATGGATTCTCTCATTAAATACATCACGAATAACTCGCCTAATCCCTATCGTTGTGAAAAGCTAAGGGGTGTTTAGGGCAATGAGCGTGCAGACTATCTGACAGGCAAGGCAGTTACCACGTCTGGTGCGGCACTGGACAGGGACGATGTTACGAAGAGGATCACGACACGCAGGACTGTGGATCCTTATCCAGGCTGGTAGGCACGGGGCGTGCAGCCTAAAGCAGCCAGACACGAACACATCACTAAGGGAACAAACAAGACGTCTGATTAATCAACACAGTCGTGTTACTTTTGTGGAGCTAGTGGGCAGGCTATTGAGGCACACAGGCAGCAGTTGGGAATGCTGTGATGATAGTTCTGGCTATTCACAAATTATGCCTTATGTCACGAGTGTAACGCTGTTGGTCATATGCTAGAGAGGAGAGTTCTGTTGTTGTTTTGCTGGCTAATGTTAGCATCTTGTTTTAGGCTGGTGAACAGATTATACTCTTTGTTGGCACGACAGCCCTGGTTAAACAAGACAAAAAATAATTTTGTCAAAGTTTTGACATTGACAGTTTCACAAATTCAGTTTTCATATTTAAAATATATTTTGTTAATCCAATATTCGTCGTTAAACATTGCATGGTTCCTATACTAAAAAGAACGGATAACAAATGATTTTCCCCCCAAAAGAATGAATTTGAAAAATAACTATACCTTTTGAAAACAAAATGGCTACTGTATGGAAAGGAAGTCACCTTCCATTATGACATCAGGTAATGTCATTAATGGTGATTGATGTCTGATAATTTATCAGCATTTTCCTACAATTCTACAAGCACACGTTATTTTCAAGAAGTTTTCACAATTTGTTTGTTTTAATATATTTGTACAATGTTCCAAAAGTGTCGAAAAACCTCGAAATCAAAGAAATAACCATAGTTATTTTTGGAGGCATGTAAACCTGCTAGTTTGCTCACTTTTACAGCCATTTATTAATTTCAGCTTTGCAACAGACCAATCATCTGATAAAGCGCCGGAAACGTCGGAGACAGGATGAATATTTTTAGTTTGGGCGAACATCAGACTAAAAAGTTCAGTATATATATATATATATATATATATATATATATATATATATATATATATATATATATATAAATATAAGTACGTTTATATATATATATATATATATATATATATATATAATAAACTCACAGGGAGCAAGTATATATATATAAGGATACAAAAAAAAAAAAAAAAGCAAATAGTGGATGAATATTGGAGTTCCATTGTATTTGTGTTCAGTAAACATAACATTTGATCATTTGAATTTTGTGTTGTTGATCTCCTTAGAGGTGAATAATTTTCGCATCGTGATGAAAATATTTTGTTTTGTTTGGGGTCATTCATATTCTGGTTTTCAGTGCCGTTCCAGCTCCTCCATCCTTTCTTATTGCGTGTCTGTTTCCTATTGCGTGTCTGTTTCCTATTGCGTGTTTGTTTCCTATTGCGTGTCTAAACTTCATGTTTCAAACAAGATGCCCCTCAAAATTATGCAAGTTGTCAGCACGTTCTGTGCACTTGAAGCGAGTCTCTTTTGTTTGACAGATCTCATGCACAAATTGACTAACCAATCTGTCAGTTAGTAAGTTAGTCGTGATTCAAGCTTCACGGCAAAAGGTTCCTCGCTTATTCGCTTATATCCTATGCCAAGAAAATCAGACAAAATGAAAACAGTTTAACAAGGAAAAACAAAATTATGAAATCAGTCAGGCAATTACAAAATTGAGCACACAACGTTCAAGTTCGTCGTTGAATGAAATAGTCAGTCTCGACAAACTTGCGGTTACAAACGCAATATAGCCTAGGGCACAATTCAGACTAGACGTACATAAGAATCTAGCCATTTAAAAAAAAAAACAGACTCAGTATACGAAGCACTCACCTCTGTGGTCTTGTCTAGCCAAAATGTGACGAATTGTCTCTCTTTATCTTTCACAAAATGCGTATACTTTGGATCTCCCAAAAATGAGCGTTCTTCTGGGAAGAATTTAACAGATGTTCTTTTCAAAATAAGTCCGCTGGCATGTAGAGTAATGTTGTTTGTCGGACTGTGACATCTCATGTGGATCTTCACACTGCCCTGTGGAACGTTAGCTTCTTAAGTATGAGTACTGTATAATTTATTTCCAGCACTCAATATTTTTTAGCAGTAATTACTCCTATACTACAACCACTACCACTACTACTAGTAATGCTGCTGCTGCTACTACTACCACCAGCACCACGACTGCCACCACCATTACTACACTGCTACAACAACTAATGTTAATATTACTAACTGCTACTATAGTCACCACTATTACTACTGCAACTTATGCTACTATTGGAACAACTAATAATAAAAATAACTGCTGCTACTGCTACTACTACTTCTACTCATAAGACAATAACAATAACAAAACAATAACAAAAATAACAGCTATTACTAGTACTACTAGTGCATCTAGAACAGAAACAAAACAACAAAAATAACAACACTGATATTACTACCAATAGAACAACAATGTCTACTACTACTATTGCTACTACTACTGATACAACCAGTACTGCGAGTATTACTCGTATGACTACTACTGATACAACCAGTACTGCGAGTATTACTCGTATGACTACTACTGCGACGACTACTGCTACGACTAATACTGCTACAGCTACTACTGTTACAGCTAATACTTCTACAACATCTACTGTTACAACAACTACTACTACTATAGCTACTTCGGCTACATCTACCTTTGCTATAACTACTTCAGCTACAACTAATACTGTTACAACTGCTACCACTACAGTTAATTTTGCTACAACTAGTTCTGCTACAACTACTACTGTTACAACTGCTACTACTACAGTTACTTTTGCTACAACTAGTTCTGCTACAACTACCACTGTTACAACTGCTACTTCTACAACTACTACTGTTAAAACTACCACTGCTACAACTTCTACTGTTACAACAGAAACAGAGAGGAAGAGATGGGCAGGGTGGAGGGAGGGGGAGACAGACAGAAACAGAGAGAAGGAGAGATAGACATAAACAGAAAGAGGGAGAGAGAGATTGTCAAAAAGATAGCATACCTACCTTGAAAACGAACTTGTCTGGGTCGGTATTGTACATTCTGGGTTGTAGCGTCACCTGGTAGTATAGAGGAATCATGGAGTCGGGCAAACGGTAGCTAGCCGACCTAGGCAGTTTCAGAGCTTTTAGAGTGGGGCCTGGCGGTGTTGGTGCTGATGTCGCTGTTTCTAGTGTTGTTGCTGTTGCTCCTGCTCTTGTTGTCGTTGTTACTGTTTTCGATGTTGTTGTGATATTTGCTTTCGTTGGTGTTATTGCTGCTATTAATTTTGATGGTGCAACCAATGGTATTGATACTCCAGGGGTGGTTGCACTCTCTGTTGAAGCAAGCAGACATCAGAATTAGAAGGGTTAATGTTCTTACAATGTCACTGACCATGAAGAAGTGACTGTTGGCATAAGACAGTCATGAACACCTTTGTTTTGAACAGATTATGAATTTTGTTGTTTCTTCTCACTCTCCATTCACCGCTGTTTGCATCTTTGATAGGTCTAAAGATTCGTCGTAAGACTCTATATGTATACAGACTTTATTTCTTTCCTCTCAGACAGATGCACTCCGAAGGAAACCCCTATTTACCTGAATCTACGACATGCATTTTAGGGAGGCAGTGGGTCTGTTCTTGTTTTCCCCATAATGGGACCCTGGAACCCACACGGTGGATCGTCAGTCCAATTCTTCTTGGGTGCCCTACTGCTCATACTCATTACTATAGGACACATGATATTGCTGGGTATATTATATTTAAAAACATAAAATATTTATATGACTGAAAAGTAAATTTGTCATCTGGAAAAAAAAAGGGACAACTGGTAAATTTCGTATGGTATTTGAAATCAGCCTGTCAAAATCAATCATAAATAAAGTGTTTAAATTATGGTGCAAAAGACCAGTGTAATTATTCGCTTTTCATTTGTATTCAACAGTATAGTACACGGGATCTGCTGTTTACATGTTTGGTTTAATCTTTCATATGGTGTAAAAAATATCTTCTTGTCTGTGTGTATGTGTGTGTGTGTGTGTGTGTGTGTGTGTTTGTGTCTCCACATCCAGAGTCCTTGCAGGTCATTGCTGATATATCGCCTCCATACTCGATCATTCTGTGCCCATTGTTGTCTCTTTCCAGTGAAAGATGTCGTCGCCGTCTTTTTGGTCGGCCTGTTGGTCGACTCGCACTCAAATTCGGTGGGGACAAATTTATATGAAGAAAGGAACTGTTTACTCTGCATCTTTACACTGGGGAGCTGCCACGTTATAGTGGCTAAACGATTGTGTGCGGATCCGAAGGTTGTAGGTTCAAATCCACATGTAGCAGAACTATGTTCATACATGACCTGACACCCAGGTCGATACCACCGTAACCAGGTACCAGGAAAAGTCATGCGAAGCAAAGGCGTCCAGGATGGGGCTGATCAGTTTACCCATTGAGGACTGATTGGTCTATGCAAACATGAGGCTAGCCTTACATGTCCAAAGCTCCACTCGTATTAAATGCGACCTTTACTGTACTCATTTTTGTAAATAGTTTATCATTCCAATAAAAGGCGCAATTTGTTATTCTAAAGCCCCCACCCTGGCTTTCGTCAGGGGCCCAAATATAACCTAACGGTTGAACGCGGTTTCTTGGACTTGTGAGCGGGTGCTTCTCATCGGAATGGTGGTATTTTATGTCACCGGCTGTTAATCGCTCGTTGTGCGATGATGGTGGGATGAACGTCCGTAATCTACCTTATCCTCACACTGAGTCGTATCCTTGGCAGTATGGGATGTCAGATATCAGTGCCGAGAAGCTCTCTGATAAGTCAGAAAAGGTATTTATTTACCCTCTTTGATAGCGATGTGAGGGTGGGGGCTGTGCATGGCTGGTGTCGTCGTCAACAACTGTGCAGGCTAGAGATTGTTTCATCATCAGTTCTCGTTATGCCTAGTGGCACATGAGGCTTCAGAGAGGACTTTCCATGCTTTCCTGTCCTGTGCAATCTTCAGTGCAGTTTTCCATGTCAAAGATGCCGCACTCAGATCACTTTCCATCGTTCGTCTCCATGTTGTTTTTTGGCGCGCCCTGTTTTTCTCTTTCCCTCTGGTGTCCACGTGAGAGCTGTTTGGGGACAGATTCATTCTCATAATGTGGCCAAAAGCCATTTCCATCTTCTCTGTGGTTATCATACACTGTCTAAAGTTTCTTGGTTTGTGACTTGAAGTAGTTGAGTGTTTGAAATTGTATCTTGCCAGAAAATTTTGATAACTCTACGTAGACATGTGTGGTGGAAGGTGGACAGCTTGTGTGCATCCTTTTTGATCATTCTCAAGCATTCAGCTCCATAAAGAAAAACTGGCAAAATAATGCTCTTGTAGAGTCGGAGTTTCGTTCCTCTGCAGTAATTGTTCGATTTCCATATTTTCCTCATCCTTCCAAAAGCAGCTCTAGCTTTGTTCAGACGTGACTGTATATCCTGTTCGGTCCCTCCCGGCAGGGACACCACACTGCCAAGATATGTGAAATTTTCTACATTTTCAAGAGTTTGATTATTTATGGTCACTGGTTGTTGGTTTGGACTGCTTGTCATTATCTTAGTTTTCTTTGTATTTATTCCCAGTCCCACCATTTCTGCTGTGCTGAGTAGTCTGTTACTTTTCTCTTGTATATGTTCATGTTTATGTGATAGGAGTGCTATATCATCTGCAAAATTAAGGTCCTCAAGCATGGTGAATGAAGTCCATCGTATGCCTCTCAAATGTCCTGTCTACTGTGATCTTTAGTATCCAATCAATCACTAGGTTGAAGAGGAGAGATGACATAACACATCCCTGTCTTAAACCTGTCTTTACTGGGAAAGATGTATTGTAATTTTTTATACTGCAGGAAAAGTCTTTATAGAAGAGAGAAATTATTTTGACTATTTTTTCTAGAATTCCATAATGTCGTAAAATTTTCCAGAGACCGTCTCTATGGACGCTGTCAAAAGCTTTCTCAAAGTCCACAAAATTAATATATATATATATACTTCTCTGCCATTCATTGCATTGTTCTAAAATGTTACGTATGGTGAAGATGTGCTCAGTTGTTCCTCTGCATTTTTTGCAGAGATTGTTTGCCTCTGATAAAACAAAACATCTTCCAAAACTCGTATCTAGGATGTTGTTCAAAGAGGCGGGGTCTCATGGACAACGGATCACAAACATCGGAAAGAGACAGTTATAGATTCTTTTGGGCTTTATGTCAAAGAAAAGAAAGAAACTATGACCAAATGTTGGGACCACTGTCCCCGTGTGGGTTCCGGGGCCCAATTATGGGGAGGGGGCAGGGGGGTAAGAACATACACACTGCCTCACCAACAAGCATAACGTAGGAGACTACTGATCGCGGGATTATGCCTGATTGGCAAGGAACCAGCAGTCTGCACTACAAATATGTCGGATCTATACTCTTTATTCAACCTGTTAATTTGATCAGCTAGTTCTTGTAACTCCTGCTCGCTTTCTGCTAGTAGCAATGGGACATCCGCGTATCTCAGACTGTTTATTTTTCTTCCATTAATACTCAGTCTCGGCAATTCCTCAGCTTGTTTAAAAAGGTTTTCTGTATATAAGTTGAAAAGGCTTGGGAATAACACACATGGAAGACTTAGTCCACTTTTCATCTCTACATTTGGTGAGGTAATGTTGAGTAGTAGTATAAGTAAATGTTAGTTAGTTAGTTGCGTATCCTTTACAGGACGTTGCAGAACCAACCCCAACAGCCACTGGCTGTTGTGTGGTTTTTCTAGGCAAATTTACGTCCAGTAGTTTGCCATCGCCTTCTGGATGGTCGGCTTTCTTGATACCACTGTCAAAACCAATGCAAGGCGCATGGCCCGCAGCTGGAATCGAACCCGGCATCCCGGTATTACGAAGCGTTCGCATTGATTTAGCCACAGAGCCGACTATAAGTAAATGTAATCATCATAATAATAAAAGTAATAATAGTAAAAAAAAATAATAAAGTAATAATAATAATAAAAGTAATAATAATAAAAACAGTAATAATAATATTACAAGTAATAAAAACGAAGGGAAGTTAAGACCATGCAAATGGTCACCAAAAAATGCCACACTCACCTATTTCCACGAATGCCAGAAGTACAAGGAAACATCCAAGAATTCGACTCATGCAGACACGTCTGCTAGTGATGCTCCCTGCAGCACTCATAGTCGTTTTAAGCAGATTGTATCACAGCCTGTCGTCCGTCACTGGTTGTCTCCTGATGTATTTTAGACTGGTAGGCTTGCAAGCTAATGCTGTGTCTGGTAACTGGGTTAAAATCCCTCGTGAAGTTCAGCTGTTCTTTCACAAAAATCAGCCAGTCATGTAAGTGTTTTTCTTTCTCAGATTGAATCACATGGAAACGATATCTCTACGTGGCTGTTTGTTTTGTATCTGGAATTAGCAGAAAATATCAGCGAAAGAAACAAGTAAGACAAAGAAAAATGGACAACATCATGACAAATAATTGTGAATATCTTCATTGGAAACCTGATAATGTATAACCAGTTGTTCTTAAATGGTCTTAGTATAATTTTCTGTTAATTGTTTTTGTTTACACATTACGATTGCGTGTGTATATGTGTATGCTTGCGTGTTTCTGTGTCGGAACATAACATAAATAGTTCAAGTGCCATACACCATATTGAAGAAGTAAATATGCTTTATAAATGTAATTAATGTCCACTAGAAACGCATAGATACCACAAACATATGGAACAAATATTACATGATCTGCCCAATAGAAAGATCACGTGAATTAGGTAAAACAAACGCACTGACAATTGCTTCCCTACCTCGGGTTGACACAGCTTCATGTCTTGTGTAGACAAACAGTCAAGGCGGCGCTAGTAGTAGTTGCTGGTGGGAAGTCTATGAGTGGGGCCAGGCAAGCCTTTTGTAATTTATTTATGTATACCTTTCTTTGTACACGGCTTAAGAGAGTGTCAATGATCACGCCTATTTAGGGGCGGACAACCACTATTATATAAGCTGTCTGTTTGTTTCTGCAGTTCATTGCACGTACACACCTAGTTAGGTTTGGTTGTTTCGTTGGGCAGATGTTTCGCTAAACAATGAATGCTTCATGTTATTCTTGTTCTTTTGTCATCTCACTA